CGGTTTTACGTCTCATCCGAAGGACGGCGCCTTTTTACAGTATAGTGTCCCCGTCACTATACTGGGGCATTAGGACCCACATGGACCGCAGGGTGAGCGCCCCCTGCTGGCCCCACTAACACCTCTTCCAGCAGCAACCTTAATTTTTCCCAGGAGTCTCCCCTCCAGGTACTGGCCAGGCTCACACTGCTGAGCTTCAGTGGGCTGCCAGCTGTGAGTTGCAGAGTGATATGGCTGCTGGCAAATGACTCTTTATGGTGTCTGTGAATGCAGGGGAGCAACATGGATGGGATGCCAGTCTGTCACAGGGCAGACAGCCACATGCTCATGGCAGGGACAATTTTCCCAGAAGCCGATATTCCTACCAGCATGTCTTTCGAGTGTGGGAGGAAACCGGAGCACCTGGAGGAAACCCACACAGACGGGGGAGAACATACAGACTCCACACAGACAGCACCCCGGCTCAGAACAGAACCCAGGACCCCAGCGCTGTGAGGCAGCAATGCTAACCACAGCACTGCTGTGTCTTTCATTAACCTCTCAAACTGCAACGGCAGAAAAAAGTTACATGGAGAGTCTGCTCATGAAAAGAAGATGAATCAGTGTTTTGGGTGTAGTTTTGTCTAATGTTAGGGGTCGGGTTGCAACTGAGTCAGTATAAACAGCTTCCTGTTCTGCTATAAACAGAGGATTACAAGGCGATCGCAACCCCAGTTGCAAAACTCCTAAATCGTGACTTCTTGTGCTTGTGGGGTCAGAACAATATCTGATCATGGGACCTGACAGTAGGCTTTATCAGTCAACCAGCAGGAATTTCTGCTACATTCCTGCAAGTGCGACGCAACTAGGCCAATGACCCAGATGTCCAGCAGCTATTCAGAAGATTAAAAAAAAATCCAATCATGATCTCGAAACTGTCAGTTTTGCGGACCCTTGCGTGGTTCAATTGTTAGAATGTGCCCAAGTATGGAAAGGAATTTCAACAGGTCGGCCTGTCACAGCCAGAGCTGCAATTATTTGCTAGCTGATAACTGTGCAGTTCAATGTAATTGCAGCTAGGACGCTGGCTGTATGGGTGTGCTGGATGAAGTGGACTGTAAGGGCCTCATGCAGAGTGGGTTGGAGATGAGTGACCCCAGCGCAGCCTGTAATTGGCTCTTGAAGGTCTGCCAGTTGGAAGGCACAACCCAATTATAAGATCTGACAGAAACACACAGCAGATGCAAATTATTTTGGCCTGCTCAAACAGAGGAGCTAGAGCAGCCTGGTTCCTCTGCAACATAAGACATAAGTTGAAATCTAAGCCACGGTAGTATTGTGCAAACGAGGTAGTGGAATCGAAGTTCTGCACGAAATGTTTGCACAGGGTCTTTTCAGACAGCAGACACCAAGAGGCTGAAGGAGCCGAGCCTTTTCGAGTCTTGGACTCACAAGACTACAGGCGGACTACAAGCGGACCTCATCCACGTGTCGAAAATCCTCCAAGGCTCTGACAAAGTCATCCCAGAGGTCACAAGTGGGAAGCTGTGGACATGAGTGTCAGTCTGAACAGGAGGCACCTCTTCACTCGGAGGACTGTGGGAGTGCTGACACACAGGCGCCTGGGACTGTGATTATCGCCAGAGGGATCGTTGCACTGAGCACGTCGGCTCTCCTTTCACCATTTCGTGTGCGTTTCACAAGACTCGGTCTTCCCACACTTTCCAGATCTGAACGTCAACCACTGCTCAGCATCCCCTGACTCTACCTCATCTCCTGCTTCTTTTATTTAGTTCAGCTGTCAGTGGTATCCAAAGCGACTTAACATCTGTTTCCATCCGAACAGCTGGGGTTTGTACCAAAATTAGTTTTCTTCAACAGAAAAGTCCTTCTCGTCACCATAAGGGTAGCAGAGGGAGTGAACAGGTCCCGGGTTCGATCCCAATCCTCTCCCTCCCTCCCAGAGTCTGACTTTGGTAGGTCGTTGGGATCCTAACGAGCGAGAGATGAAGATGTATAAAGTATAAGAACAGCTGCCCATCCCTCCCCCCCACTGCGAGGTACAAGGGTGTAGATGTAGAGGCAGAGAATGTGAAAGAGATTCAAGATCCGGGTGTGAGACTTGTGTTCTTTTTTCCAAAATAAACTTTATTTCACAAAATACATTTCTCAAAAGATCATTGTAATATAGGTATAGGTAACAGGTAACAGGTGTGGTGGCTCATTCGGAAAAATGTTATTTGATGTTAAGCTAATCATTTTTTAGAATGTAAGAGATAAGATCACTTTATTGGCCCTATACAATTTCTTGTATTAGGAATGTGTCTTTCCACAGACCCCAGCTTGCCCTCCATGAGACACACAGACAGGGAGAGAAGCTGGGGGTCAGAGCGCAGTGTCAGCCATTGTACAGCACCCCTGGAGCAGTTGGGGTTAAGGGCCTTGCTCAGGGGCCCAACGGAGTAGGATTCCTCTGCTGGCTGCGGGATTTGAACCAGGAACCTCCTAGTCACAGGCACAGATCCTGAGCCACAGAGCCACCGCTCCACTCCTAAAGTGGAAGTGTGGAACAAACTGTCCAGCAAGGTATTGACTCTGATACCCTGGCTTCCTCTGGCAAGAAGCTGGCAGGATGTCTGCTGTCAACACCATCGCTTTCCCCCGAGGGACAGCGACCGCGTTTTCCACAGACCCAGCTTCGCGTTCGCCCTGACGATCCTCTCCCTCCAGTTGAGGGTCTCGTTGTCTTGGCTCTGGAACGAAACCCCCAATATCCTGAGGGGCCCCCGTTCAGAGCTCGAGACCTTCCGGAGTCCTTCCAGGGTCCAAAGAACTTGGGTGCGAGATTTATATTCGTAGATAAGCAAAAGTGTGTGAGATTATGATCTAACCTTCTGCCTGAATTTGTGTTGTAAACTCCATTTGCTACTCTTGATTGTCTCTCTATGGTAGGGGACACGTGGACTGTATGAGTACAGGCTGTGGGACTACAGTGAAAACAATCAGCCTGCAGCTCCAGACTGCCACCCCATCCTAATCATTAGTGGATTTTCCGAAATGTAGATATTATTTTAAAATAATCCGGCTATCTCTTTTAATGTCAAGTCTCTTTTCATGAACACAGAACGATGCAGACCTGGACACATATTTGGCTGTATTATAAAAAAAAAACATTTAAAAAGAGAAAGAAAATCGTAAGCTTGCTTGCTGCTGTGTATTGCATGTAAATAGCGCGGTAGAATCGCATTAATTTCACGTTATCGATCATTGTTGTAAACCTTATATCTAATTCGAATGCATATATATGTTAAAACTGCAACACAACATATCATATGTGTATTTGGCTTCTCTCTGTATGATGCTATTGCATCTGTAAAATTAATTCGTTTGAACACGTTTTAAAACTAGTTTTTATGTTTTTAAAATGCAAGTGAAACGAGAAAGGGTGACGCCACCAACAGAAACAATGGAACGAGAGGAAGACACTGCATCCCTCTGTCCGCCATGTTGGCTCAAAGCTACCTTTCGGTTACACCCTTTACCGCTGGCTGTTAGATCCAAAATGGTTTCCGTTTCACGCAGTTTTACAGTGTTTTCCGAAGCGTAGCGCAGAAGTTTGCATTATGGGATAAAGGCGGAATAAATCGGGGAGGTTCCGGATTCCCTGGATCGGCCTGGGATAGAGAGAAGAGCAGAGGGAGACATCATTTTTAAAACTTTATTCAGGTACATTAAACTGAGGTAAGGAGTGCTAAAACAAACATGCCTAAACTCAGGTGGGCGTGAGCTGTGACGTTAAGGACAAAACCTCCAGGGTCCATTTGTTGGAAGTTGTTAAAGTAATCCTTCTGGAAAACACAGAAAACTTTGGGGTGTGAACAGCTTATTTTGTATCCAGGTGCCCAAAAGTTTTTGTCTATTTGGAAAAAGACGGGAAGAAAAGTCGATACGACGTTACCGAGCGACGAGTTAACTAATAGGCGCACAGTAATGTGACACAAACTGTCCTTTAATGAGCTCTGGTCTGAGTGCAGCCAGTTATAACCCCGGTAATGGCTCCGTCCGGACTCTCTTCTCCCAGCTGGGTGGGGACGGATTTCGGGATTTTGGGGAAGAGAGCGCGCCCTACCTCCCACGAGCTTCTCTTTTCCTAACAAATTCGCCATGCACGCCTGATTAACTGCAATAAAACATAAAATCGACAAACTGTTTAATAGCATAATTAAGTCACAGCAATAACGACTCCTTTAATAATAATAATAATAATAATAATAATAATTATTATTATTATTATTATTATTATTATTATTCTTTTCTTACATATATATAGCGCTTTTCTGGACTTTCCACTCAGAGCGCATGTTATTATTAGTAGTAGTGTTGCGTTGTTTTATCAATAACGATGAAAATCCATCCAACCGGTTTAGTCCAGCTGTAGTCCACCAGTGATGCGTCTCATAAGTGTCATTTAATTCCTTGATAAGAGAGACACATCCTTAAAACCTGACGCAATCGCGGGAAGTTGTTTTGGGAAAAAAAATTGTTTCTGACAGAATTAATTATTAAAGCTCTTATTCCCTCGTGGTGTTTTGGCATAAGTGACCCCGCTGTGCTTCATCATTTTTATAACACCGTTTTCCTGTTTCAAAGAAACAATCATTAAAGCTCTTATCGTTTGGTGCGCCAGTAACATGGCTGCGAGCCACCATTGAATTTGCTCGGCGGCCGTGATCCCTGGTTGTGCGGGATAAAATATTGTCTGGTTTGCCCTGTTGCACTTTGAACCAACTTTCTTACCTCTGTTTACCGAGGAAAACTTCAACAGTTTTTGAATTGATTAAGCAAATGAAGGTAATGGAACTGTGACTGAAGTGTTTTGTTTTATTTCTCAAAGCTTTATGAAATTGAGCACGAAAGTCCATGAATTTGAAATTGGCGACCGTTTCCATCCTCACTGTTACAGCAGTGCTGTGTTTCCTCAGGCTGGGTGTCTGGACACTGTGAATATGAGGGAGAGGTGAGAACACCAGAAGAGTTTTTTTTTTCTTCTAGATGTGCGGCGAATTCCCCGAGAGCACGCTAACCTTAGTGCACGTTTGGCTTCCAGGAGCTGAAAGACGATTCTCCGGGATTCACGTCTTTCATTTTCCCTGTTTTTATCGCCAACAGAACCTCCTCGGTTCCCTTGCTGAAACGGCAAATTAAAGAAGCTAGGAAATGATGAGAAAATATGTATGGAGCTGCAAAAGGGACCTTAGCTCTCTCTCTCTTTTTGTGTGTTTTGAGAAAAAATGACAAAAGCCTGTTTTTGTATATTGATGAAATAGTTCAGGTGGGGAGCTGCGTCAGCATGTGTAGGCTGCAAAGGAACAAGTAATGGGTTTATTCCATGCTGAAAAGAGAAGAAAGACACCACAACTGTTTTCTTTTTTTCTCTTTTCAGCATGGAATAAGCCTATTACTTGGTTAAATTAGTCCCTGTGTTGTTTTGATTAATCGGTCATTCATGATTGATTCACTCAAGTGGCTCTGCGGCTTGAGCCCAACACCACCTCGTTAGGGAGGAGCTGATTGGCTCAGGGGCTGGTGTGAGCGTCGAGCCTGGGGGAAATCAAGACCGCGTCCGGCTGAAAGGGACCGGCAGGTCCCCGTTATCAAGAGAGCGGCGCCTTTGTGTCGTCGATGAGCCGGAGGCCGGGCTGAAGCTCTCTCCGCTGGGGTGAGCACAGCCCGCGGTTTCGAACCTGGCAGGACGAGCGCCGGTGTGTGGCAGAAAGCCGGCCAGCCTGGGTCCTGTGGGCCCCCTGCCGGACAGCGCTGTCGATGGAGCCGTCAGCCGGCATTAACGGATCTAGCCGTGTGAGGTCTGGTCAATTAACTGTCAGCCCGCCTGTCCGGGGGGGAAAAAAGGCTTTTGTCCTGATCGATCCACCGCAGATTCCCAGAGGCGATGAGTTTCTTTTTATGCTCTGTGTACGCTAACGTCTGGCGTCGGAGCTTCTGCTTAAAATAGGGAAAGATAACAGGTTTTGTTTTTCGGAGAAAGAAACAAAGGCTCGACTTTGCTGCCGGGCTCGACTTTGCCTGTGCGTTGAAGGAAGAAAGCTGAAGAGCTTCTCTGCCCCGGCTCTTGTAGCTGTAAACCACCTGAGTCTGGGGCTCAGCTTCAACCCCCTGGCTGGGTAGCTGGTCTCAGATCCTCTCCTCCCTTTCTCGCTCCCGGTCAGAGCTGAAGGGATTCTGAAACCCGGCGCCTCTCCCAGGCCTCCCGTTCGCTAGAGTGGAGCAGCCTGGAGCTGAAACGGCCAGCAGTGTGGCACAGCAGTCAGGGCTCCAGACAAGCACCTGAGGGGTGGGGGGGTTGTGGGTTCAAATCCCAGGGGCGGCACAGCTGTAATGCTCTTCTGTGAGGGGGCGTCGCTCCGTTTGCTCAAGGAAAGAAAATCCCCAGGCTGTGTGTGAGTGGGCACAAGTTTAAGTCACTTAAAAAAAGTAAAAAACGAGCCATCGTGGTGGGGGGGGGACAAGACACAAGTCTGGATGCAAGCAGAGCTCTGTGCAGAATTATATTTCCTTCGGTTGTCAGTTATCAGCTGAGATCTTCTCCCGTCCTGTCGAGGGGAGCAGGGCACGTGTCGTGTGTGTGACGTGTCGTGTGTGTCGTGTGTGCCCAGTTTTGTGCTGCGGCTCACCTTCTTGAACCTGCGGTGACCCTCTGTGCTCCCTCTGGTCTCGCGGTGGGGGCTGTGTGGTAAAATGAGTCGTCTGTCGGCGTGAGTTGAGCTGGTGGCCTTCATTTCTTGAATACGAAACCGAAGATCTCTGACATTCCTTTTGCTTGGGTTCAGCAGCCCAACCAATCAACAGCCCAGTGTGGATTGTTGTGGAGTATTCTCTAGGTGAGACGCAGTACCATTACAGTTCTTGTCTGTCATTCTTTGTCGGTTATTTTATTCTCCAGGGAGTTAAAAAAAGTGCCAAGTACAGTGTTGCTTTGTAGCACACCACTTGTAAAGTACCCACCTGAGAACAGTAAAACAAAAGTCGGAAAACAGTGTGCGGACGATTTTGATTTAAAAAAATGACATCCAAGGAGTCTTGTTCGCCTCTGAAGGTCTTTGATCCTGGCTTTCCTCAAAAGCAGCTGGATTGGTCCTGTGGGTGCGGCGTGGCCCAGAGAGCTGCGTCCGTCTGTCAGGGGATCTGAGTAAGTAATTCACCCCTGTCGCTGGCCATCTGTTCCCTGGCAGCTCGTGGTTTCCTGCCGCCAGGAGCGTTCTCAGCAGAGCAGAGCGTTCGGCCTGAACCCCCGAGACCCCTCACGCTAACATCTAACTCGGAACTAGCTGTGTTTATTTGAACAGATCGCCGGGCACCATGTTTTTCCGAGTTGTCTGTGGGTTCTGAATTCCGTTGATTGTTCGGGAGTTTCGCAGAACGCTCCGCTCTGCCAATGCTCTGCTCCCCAGATAAGGCAGCAACACAAGACGCACCAGAACAACACGTGAAGAAGAACTTTTTTTTTTTAAGAAAGAAAAGGTACCTGCTGTAACTGGTTTCAGCCGCGGATGACAGTTTTAGTGTTTCGAAAAGACCGGCGTCTTTCTGTAGCGGGGTGTTCGTGAGAACCATTGGGGATTTGAAAGGATTGCACTCCTCGTTTCCTTTAGCGCTTGACTGATTTCTTCTTCTGCAGCCGTCGGGCAGCTGGACACGACACATCTGTGAAAACCTCGCTGCGTATGGACGGCTTCAAACTTTCACTAAATCTCCACTGAAAGATTTGTGGGCCCACTTTGTTGCTGTTGTAAATTCCATTTGGGTTTTTTCTACAGTCCTGTGCTTGATTAATCATCTCCCAGATAATAAGTTGAAGTTGATTTAATATTTTCGCAGACCACTCCAGGTTCAGTTAGCCGGCGCTCTGGAATAACAGCCCTCCCCAGTTCTGGGAGCTGGCTGGAGGTCCGTTCCTGCTGGCGGATACCTTGGTCAGCGCGCTGGGGAGTCTCGTGTTTGGATTAGCTGTAGCTGTTCCTCTGTGGGCCGGCGTGGGGCTGCACCGGTTAGCCTGGCTTCCCTCCAGCGCAGGGGCCTAGGGTTCACTCCCAGGCCTGGGGGTACTGTCTGTATGGAGTTTGTATGTTCTCCCCATGTTCACATAGGTTTCCTGCAGGCGCTCTGGTTTCCTCCCACAATCCGGTTAAATAACTTCTGGGGAAATCGGCCCTGGTGTGTGTGTGTGTGTGTGTGCCCTGCCATGGACTGGCGTCCTGTCTAGGGTGTACCCCGCTTTGCATCACACTCCTGTGGCCTCCTGCTTCTGCGTCAGTCATTGACCCCTGAAACATTCCCCACAGTGTCGCAGCCTCTCAGCGCCGTCCTCTGCTGCCTCTCTCCACCAGGCGCTTGCTTCACGCAGTCCGGCTGCTTGGGCAGTGCGACTGCATGGGGGGGGTCAGTGCTGCGGCGGGGTCCCGGGTTCGATTCTGGGCCGGCACGCCTGTCTGTCTGGAGTCTGCATGTTTCCTGTGGGTTTCCACCTTCATCACACAGGCTGGTTGGGTTTGGCAGGCTAATCCAAATGATCTCTTTCTAAAGGGAGGTTTCAAAGAGACCTCGACCTCGATCAGTAGAGCCAGTGACCTCCTCTCCGGTGGCCTGACTGGTGTTTTTTCAGGTTTGTCTGAAAGAGGTGGCACAGTTATAAAAGACATCTATCAAGAGCAGATGAGAACGTCAGAATGGGAAAGAGACATGAAACAGACATTGTTATCCTCAGCCTGCATTGATATCAGAATATTAGGCATGGTTAGGAAATTTGGTTCAGTTTCTGTACAGTAGCAGGAAGCCCTCAAAAGGTCGTTTTCTGAGCAGGCTGGGCTGCTTTCTCCCTAGGCCTTTGATCCCAGTGGCCTGTCGTTACTTAATATACAATTTCTGGGCCGTCGCATACTTTTCCCCCACTTAAACCAGAGACCAAGCTGTTTATTTCAAGCCCGACGCGAAACGTGCTGGGAAAGACCCAGGGGCTGCTGGTGAGCTGCTCTGGGATCCACCCCGCGGAGCGTTTCTGCTGGTGTCTGCGCCACGATGGCGGCTGCTCGAGCTGAATCCCCAGCAGAGCGATGGAGGAAGGAAGGCTCTTCAGCCGGGCTCGTAAAACCTCCTGCCTCATTCACATCCCCGGGTTTTTCTTTCCCACAAAAGAAACCTGCACAATGGGGCTGTAAAATGTCTCGTAAATCTAGGCTCTCTGTAGGCTCTTGAAATGCCTCTTTCAGAGTTTGTTTTCTTAACTGGCGTTTTCTCTGAACAGCAGTGCAATGAATGAGCCTCCTGTGTTTGTGTTGTAGGTTTGGGCTCCTGGTCACTGGCGATGTCTCAGTCTGGAGAGAAAGGGAAGGTGAGTGAGAGTTTCCACAGGCTCTGACTGTCAGAAATTTCACTTGGACACCTGGACGTCTCTTAGTGATAATAGTCACTAATTCCCTACACTTATTTAGCGCTTTTCTGGACACTCCACTCAAAGCTCTTTACAGGTAATGGGGATCCCCTCCACCACCACCAGTGTGCAGCCCCACCTGGATGATGCACCAGTACTCTCCCCACACACCAGCTCTCAGTGGGGAGGAGAGCAGAGTGATGAAGCCAGTTCGGAGATGGGAATTATTAGGAGGCCGTGATTGATAAAGGCCAATGGGAAATTTGGCCAGGACGCCGGGGTTACAACCCTACTCTTTTCGAGAAACCCCTGGAATTTGTAATGACTACAGAGAGTCAGGACCTCGGTTTTACATCTCATCCAAAGAACGGCGCCTTTTTATAGTACAGTGTCCCCGTCACTATACTGGGGCATTAGGACCCACACAGACCGCAGGGTGAGCGCCCCCTGCTGGCCCCACTAACACCTCTTCCAGCAGCAACCTCAGCTTTCCCAGGAGTCTCCCCTCCAGGTACTGACCAGGCTTCAGTGGGCTGTCAGCGGCGAGTTTCAGGGTGATATGGCTGCTGACGAAAGAAAGCTCTTGCCGTCTTCCTCACTGCTCTTCTGAATCAGCACTGTAGTGCAGTACATCTCTTGAGAGCTAAGTTAGTTTCCACACTGTGCTGCAGGTGTAATGATCTTGGTTATGGTGCTGGACTGCCTTCAGCACTCGGTCAAAATACCGTATAGAGGCAGTTGCAGTCAGCGCAAGAGACAGGTCCTTTCAGCATGTCTTACTGTTCCCGTTTTCAGTTCCCAGAGGCTGCAGGATATGTGGGATTTGCCAACCTGCCGAATCAGGTCCACAGGAAGTCGGTGAAGAAGGGATTCGAATTCACCCTGATGGTCGTGGGTGAGTCTGCTTGCTGGAAGAGTGGGGGGGGCCGTGGGCTTTCTGGACGGACCCCTCCATGGGGAGTTTCTCTGCCCGAACCTCGGTCATTTCAAAGGCTGACCTCTTGAAACTGTCTCCTGGAAATAAAAACTGGGGTCCTGTCCTGCCCGATAGGGTACAGTGCCGGTCCCGGGAGCACCGGGTGAAGCTCCTGCAGAAAGGCGTCTTGAGGCTCAGCGTGGGGTGTGCTGTCTCTGTTCCTGCAGGAGAGTCGGGCCTGGGGAAGTCGACGCTCATCAACAGCCTGTTCCTCACGGACCTGTACCCGGAGCGCTACATCCCTGGGGCCGCAGGTGAGGCCGAGAGCTGCCCACGTCCCCTGCCCCTCGGAGGCCTGGGGGAGGAGCGGCTGGCGGTGGCAGCAGCAGGACTTTGCTGGACCCCGGTATAGGTCCGGCAGGCCGTGCTCCTGCTGTAGAGTGGAGCAGTGTAGCTTGGCAGGTGCCAGGGTTGCTTGGTGGTCCGTCCGGTCTTGACGCGCAGAGTCCCCTGCACAAAAATCGTAAGGAGGTTTGAAAAAGAGAGGAGTCTGCTGAGCCCTTCCAGATTATTTTGGCTTTAGTAGCTAAAATGTCTGAGGATCTCATCCTCATCCTGTCTTTGACACCATTTTATTTACACATCCATCTTGGAATTGCCGATTGTGTGTTTTTCACATGCCAGCACACGGCCACAAACCCTGTGACCGCACACGGGGGAGAATGAGGACGTGCACAGGCAGACTCCTCCTCCCACCCTCCTTCGAGCCAATCGCCTTTTAACACGTCACAGATGCCCCTCCCCCGCCCTAGAGGTTTTGGCATTGATGGGAGGAGCGGCACCACAAGCCTGCGGGCTTCTGCCTCTCTGAGAAAACGGACAACCCTGTCCGGATAATCAGACCTCATCCCTGAAAAGCCGAGCTTGTCGTGTGCCGCCACATTGGGAACCAGGTGGCAATGTGACCCACGTGACCCCGGCTCGAACCCGTGACGCCCAGATCTCAGAATTCAACCTGCACCTTTGCCAGCTGAGTCTCCCGGGAGGCTCTCGCGTCGATCCCATCGGCCGCGTTGCTTTTTCCCCGTCGCCGAACGCGTCCTCGATCCGGTGGGCGGGCCCCTTGCAGTAACACGGTGTTCCCTTCGCCTCCCAGAGAAGATCGAGCGCACGGTGCAGATCGAGGCGTCCACGGTGGAGATCGAGGAGAGGGGGGTGAAGCTGCGGCTCACGGTGGTGGACACGCCGGGCTACGGCGACGCCATCAACAGCCAGGACTGGTGAGCCTGCTCGGCGCTCGGCCTGTCCCGCCTGCGTCTTCCCCGCTTGGCAGCGCTGCTCTTTCTGTGTGTGTTCTTCTGGCGTTGGGGTCGTCGACGTCCTCTGTCTCGGGGGAAGAGGGCGAGACTCCTGGGGTATAAAACGGGGGTTTGTCACCAGCGTTCTCGGGGGCTGTGCAGGGGGGGTCCCCAGAAACGAATGCTTCCAGCGGCATGTCGGGTAATAGACACCCCCACGCTGGCAGTGAACACATCTCCTGCAGTTTTATAGTCAAGAGTAGGAGTAGTCAGGTCTTTAATCTGGTTTATCTTTAAACTGGGTGGCTCCTCCTGAGAGGGGTTTCTTTGCACAGTGTCCTCCAGCCAAAAAAGTCTGGAAACGGTTCTGTAAAAGGGGTTTGTAGTGTTTGAGAAGGGACACTACAGATCTGGTGTTATCTGAACAATCTTATTTCCCTCCATTCCCGGCCAGTCTGTGTAAAGTGAAATGACCCATCGCCTTGTTGTTGTTTTATTCCTGGATGGATTATGTGCCTGGATCAGAGCGCTGTCCGCTGGCAGTCTGGTCCGTTTCCCTGTGTTGTCAGTGTACAGCAGCAAGAACATGGCTCGGCATGCATCTCCTGCCCAGTCCTCCAGCCCGCCTGAGAACGAGACAGTGTGAGAGGAGAAATGGTTCTGGTTGCTTCTGCGTTTTTTTTCCGGACCAGTTTCCCGAGATGGGCCGCATGTGTGGTAGTTTTGCACAAGAGAGAGGGGAGAAAGGAAGGGTGAGGGGGGGTGTCTCTGTCAGGATTCTGGGGAGCGTGAAGGAGAATCCCCCAGCAGTGAGCCAGGGGCGCTGAAAGCCCTGTTGTCGCAGCTCCGTCTTTTAAAACAAACAAAACGAGGTTGGGAAAAGCCCAGAAAATCCAAGAAGCAAGTAAGATCGGGCAGTGGGTGAAAGTTGGACATGGCTTTCCTCCAACGGAGATGACAGATGACGGAGGGGGTGGTGGTGGGGTGAGGTTGTATTTTTTTTGTTTCAAAGTTCCCTTCCTCCCAGTCCTCTGCACTTCCGCAGCGGGCTGCTGACGGGGCAGAACGAGCTCCCCTGGAATTCACGGAAAGCTCGGACTTGCGGCCGTCCTGGAACAAGTGTGTCGTCCGCCCTGGTTTGATCCCCAGGGACTTGCTCAGAGATCCGTTAAACCTCTAGCGTGAGGGTCAGGACTTGCAGTAGGTTACTGCTTCCAGCCTGGCCAGCAGCAGTGCAGCACCTTACCGCTGTGCAACATCCATCCATTTCCTAATGGTCCATCCTGGGAGGGGGCCCTGGGTTCAGTTACTGGGGCGCTGTCTGTGTGGAGGTTGTCTGGTCTTGCTGTGTTCATGCAGATTTCCCCCAGGTGCTCCAGTTCCCCCCCCCACAGGCCAAAGACTTACTGGCAGGCTAATTGGCTTCTGGGAAAATTGGTGTCTGTTTGCCAGCACCGAAATGGGCTGGCGTCCACGTGTACCGTTGCCTTCTGGGACAGGCTCCGGCTCTCCCGCGTCCCTGAGTTGGATGAAGGGTTTAGAAGACGGGCGTGTCTCTGGTTTCATTGTATTTCTATTGTACAGTTTATGTCAAGTGTCTGGGAATGCAATCACAGGTGCTGGCGGAGTGAGGCAGGGGGTCCCCCGAGGGCACAAGCGGAAAACTGCGTTTGAAACCGAGAATAGGAGGCCCTTTAACTACCTTACACAAAGGGTGGTGGGAGACTGGAACGATTAGCCACAGACGGGCCAGATGGGCAGAAAGGTCTCCTCTCGCCTGTACACTTTCGTACTTCACGTGCGGCGCTCCTGGTGTACCTGCGGCGTCCTTTTCCTCCCGATGCACAAATGGGAGCTGACGGACAGAGCGGCTGGACTTCCTTCCGAGACCCCCAACCCCCCCCCCCCCCGCCGGGGGCCTGCGGGCAGGGCATTGTATTAAAATCACGGCTTCCTGTTTATTGTCCTCGTTTGCCTGTGTTTATCTGTCGGGCTTTCATCCAGCTGTCCTGCCGCTGTCCTCTCTCTCTCTCCCTGTTCCCCCAGAAAGAGCAAACCATCTCTCTCGCTGACCGTGCCTTCGGTCTTCGCCGTTTCAGAGTGAAGCTGTTTATCTGGGTGATTCCTGAGTGCCGGCAGCAAGCTGAGAAAGAGAGGAGTAAACAGGAGGGGAATCGTGCTCTTGGCAGGGAGCTCTGTAACGACGGCGACCAGCCAGACTGGGAGACTGGCGGGCGGGGGGTCACGGAGAGGGGTGGGGGTCCGAGACGGGGGTGGGGGGGCAGGATCCTTCTCGGTTCGCGGGCTGCTCTCCGTCTGGGGCGTCCGCCGTGGGCCGCGGTTTGGAAGTGCCCATCCCGGTTTTGGGCTCACGTGCAAGATGTCTGGGCCTGTTTCTGCACCGTCGGGTGTGCACGTCAAGACAGTGTTTAAGAGTCCAGTTGTCCAATAATTCCTCACCCTTCTGAAGAGCTTTTCTGGACACTCCACTCACAGGAGCCTTCACAGGTAATGGGGATCCCCTTCCACCAGCACCCCCGATGTGCAGCACCAGAAAGGGTGCCATTGTGGCTCTGTGGCAGGAGCTGCTACCTCCCTCCTCCTGGTTTTCATTCCCAAAGAGGGCACCCTCTGTGTGGAGTTTGCATGTTCCTACTGCGTCCTGTTGGGTTGCCTCCTGGCTTCCAGAGAGGCGTTGGCTAGATTGATAAAAACGATTATAGGAGCTGTCAAGGGCTGTCCCACTGTCCCACTGAAGAACAGATTAAACCTATTTGAGATGTAAGCTGAGGTTGCTGATGAAGGAGGGGGTTAGCAGGACCAGTAGGGGGCGCACACCCCGCGGTCTGTGTGGGTCCTAATTCCCCAGTATAGAGACAGGGACACTGTACTGTAAAAAGGCCGGCCTTCAGATGGGACGTAAAACTGAGGTCCTGACTCTCTGTGGACATTCAAACTCCCAGGGCATTTCTTGAAAACAGTAGGGATGTTACCCCGGCCTCCTGGCCAAATTTCCCCCTGGCCATGAGGCCTCTTAATCATCCCCATCTTCAACTGGCTTCATCCCTCTGCTCTCCTCCCCACTGAGAGCTGGTGTGGTGGGGCTGCACACTGGTGGAGGTGGACGGGATCTCATTTACCTGTAAAGTGCTTTGCATGGAGTGCTCTATATAAGTGTAAGGATATTATATGATTAATATATGTTTTCAAATCATTTTTAAGAACAGCCGACAATAATTTACTCGGAGTAACAGCACCCTCGAATGGAGGGTGCTGTAAGGAGTCAGGAGTGTTTAGTGAAAATATGGCTGAACCCGCTTGGCTGAGGGCGGGGCTCCTGGCCAGAGGACAAGGACACCCCGGGGCCCCTGTGAGTGAGGAGTGACCCAGGGGCAGCTGCAGAGGGGGAGGTGGAGGAGGGAGGCAGGAGACGAAGGGCTCACATGTAGGATTTATAACGGTACAGGTGGATAGTGGGTGTCGGGAGTGACTGTGAGATACTGACAGCCGAGTCTGATTGACCTGGGCCGTTGTCGTCCCTCCTGAGCTTTCGTTGTAAACCCCATTAATAGTGCCGTACTGCCGGGGTTAATACCCACCTGAGCCACAGGGCCGAGTCTTTCCTGACGAGCATGACGTCGGTGTCAGGCAGTTACAGAAAGCGTTGTATTTTTTTCAAAGTGCAAATCCAGTTTAAAGGGAGAATATGGAAAATGCGCTGCAGTTCCACGCTCTGTATGGGCATCATTAAAACCACGTAGTACCTGGGGAGGACCCGACCCCTGGAATCCGTGCTGCGCGGTTTTCATGTCCATCCTTTTTGGAGCTCGAGAAGGCGGTAAACGTCTGCACTGTGCTTTTAAATGAAACGCTTCTCTGCGAAACACGGCCTTTTAATCGGAAGACTCGGGGGGAGCCGTCTCCGAGCAGTCAGCCAGGCTTCGAGGTCGGCCCCCTCTGGGATCCAGAGGCCGGGCAGGGAGAGCAGCAGCAGCAGCAATGTGCTGTGTGTACCGGCCCCGGCCCTCCCTCCCCCCCCCGCCGAGCCGCTGTGGCTGCGGGTCGCGGGAGGGCGATGTGTCACGGCGATCACAGAAGTGCTCGGTTTTTAATGAAGTCTTCCCCGCTGAGGGTCTGAGGGCTCAGTCCTGGCATGTGCCGAGTCTAGACAGGCCGGCCCTCCATTGATCGAGCTCTGGAGGCTCGCAGCCCGTCGACAGAGCTTAATTAAACGGAGCTACACGCAGAGTCGGCTGTAATTTGTGTCGGCTAGAGTGCGGCGGGATTGTTGCCGCCGCACGTCGCCGGCTGTGACCCAGAACCGCGACCCCGTCGCGCGGTTGCAGTCTTGATTTCCGCGGTGGGCTGAGCGCTGATTGGAGGGAGAGGCATGTCCCCTGGCGATTTGTCCCTGCAGGTGTTCGGGAGACGGCAGGGGGCGCTGTGTCACGGGTAGACGGGGATGTGTCCTGGCTGGGTAATCCCCACCCTCCCCTGCCCCAGCAGCCCCTGAGCCGAGGACGTCCTGATGATCCAGACTCGAACCCGTGACACACCTGGGTCACCGCACTCAGCCCTCTCCTGTAGCAAGACATTTTACCAGTTGGGTCCCATTGATCAGCACTGTTCAAGGTCTGTTTATGAGAGCTGGAGGATGACAAAAGTATCAGTGAATACAGAGAAACCATACTGTTTTCAGGCACTGTTGTTATTTTTTGTTTTGAGTGTAAAATGAAACTTCTCTCATGGCTGCATCTCAAACCCAGATCGTCCCACATGCACGAAGTGTTTTAACAATGGGCTGTGTCTTAAGAGACCACAGAGAAGAGGGCCCATGTGGTCCGTCTAACTGGTTTGTTTCAGTCGCTAAGTTGATCTGAGGATCTCATTCTTGAACACAGGCAGGGTATTGGCTCTGGCAGCATAGCTGGGCAGCCTGTTCCATACTCCCGCAGCCCTTTGTGTAAAGGGCTTCCTGTTTCCTTGCTGTATTGTCTCCAGAGGCTTTTAAATAGGAGTTTTGGTGTTTTGGTGACTCCCACGTGTATCACCGGTGTCCCCTGTCTTCATGCACCCCGTCTCGCTCTGCACCCTCTTTTCCTTCATCTCCTGCGTTTCTGCCTCCTCTCCTGCAGCTTCAAGACCATCATCCAGTACATCGACAACCAGTTCGAGCGCTACCTGCACGACGAGAGCGGCCTGAACAGGAGGCACATCGTGGACAACCGGGTGCACTGCTGCTTCTACTTCATCTCGCCCTTCGGACACGGGTGAGAGGGCGGGGGCAGGGGGGCGCTGGGACAGTCGCTGCGCCTGGGCGCAGGGGCGGGGGCGCGCCTGTTGGCCTTCTGCTACTGGAGCTCCGTGGTGAAGGAGGTGAAGGAGGTGCCAGGGTGTCGCCCGCTCACGGTCTTGACACAGGCCGGTATGGTAACACTTGGCCCAGTCTTTGGGGAAACGGCACAGATGCTGTTGTGATGAAATGCAGGGGTGTGCAGCTGGCATCGCCATCAGATTATCGGATCGGGCGTTTCCTGTCCTGCTGCAGGAGAGCCACTTAAACCCTCAGCTTACATAAACCTTTTCAAATCGTCTGTTACCTGCTGTACAAGGGGTATCGGAAGTCAAAAGGAAATATGTCTCTTCTGTCCTGAACTGGGATCCTGAAATGCAATATAAGCTCTTGTTTCTGACTTTCAATGCTCTAAACAATCTGTCCCCATCGTACTTCTCTGAACCCCTCCATGTTTACACCCTTAGGCTCCAGCCAGCTGAGGCCGGTCCTCTACTCACTGTATCCAGGGCTAAATCCCAGACTTTTGATGGCCATGCTTTCTGCGTCACTGCTCCAGTCTTGTGGCATGACCTCAGACTTTACGAGAGACTAAAGTCTCTAAACTCTCTTCAAATCTAAACTAAAACTTACCCTTTTTGCCAAGGTCTATGTCTGATTACCTACAGTCAATTTGTAAAATTATTATTGAACTGGCTGATGGACGGGACGCCCTAGCCAGTGGCATGACCTCCACAAGGTCCAACTCCGGCACCACTAGACTTTTTCCAGTGGGAACAACCGGAGTCTGTGGTCTATGGTCCGAACCAGACAGCACTGCAGCCCTTAGGGCAAAAATTCGGAATGCACAGTTTAAGATCACTGCTTCCGTCTCAAGTATTAAGAAGACATTCATAAGACATTCATAAAATATGGTATGGTATGGTAAAGGCAACTAGTTTCAGCAGTAAATGTTTAACGTGTCCAGATTTCCGATACACTCTGTATAATCAGTAGATCATAAGGAATGAAGGGGCTCTTCATCTTTATAGAGCAGGTGATTTAATCACAGCCTAGCAGAAGGGCTGTGGCGGGGAACTATGGGACCCGGTCCGCAGAGGTCCCGTGGTCATCGTCCGTCCGGTGCCCCGCGGTGACCCGTTCTGTCTCCTCAGCCTGAAGCCGCTGGACGTGGAGTTCATGAAGGCCATCCACAGCAAGGTGAACATCGTCCCAGTCATCGCCAAGGCCGACACCCTGACGCTGAAGGAGCGCGACAGGCTCAAGAGGAGGGTGAGAGAGCCGGGCAGCCCGTCCGTCTCATTCTGATACACGGAGCCTTCTCAGTGCGCTCCCTATCAACTACACATACAAACGCAAGTACGGTGCACAAGAATTACAGTAAAACCATGTATGAATGTGAAATGAAAAGGAGGAGGTTAAGAACCCAAGGCCATTGAAATCGAGCGGAGGCGCCGTTCTCAATGCGGTCAGGGAGAGTATTTGCAGACGAGCGGCGAAGGCTTAGTCCCCTGACGTGCTGTGTGCGGCCTTGGGGATGCTGGGAAGCCCAGAGCCAGCGGGACGCCGCTCTGCAGCGGAGAGATCTGGGATTCGGGGTCTTATTTCCGTGGGACTGTTCTGGATGGGCTTTCCCCATGACCCTCAGCCGGCCTGCTCCTCGGCTGTGCCCTGGAGCCTCTGGATCGGGGATGTACTATCCTGGGTCTGCTATACCAGCTCAGCTCTTATTTAAAGAATTCCCCCTCCCCGTTTAACCAACACGACTTTTTGGAATTGGCTCCAAAATTATAAACCGTTTTATAAAAAAGACTTCATTAATCATTTGATGGCATCTGCTATTGAAGAGCGGGGCATCGGTTAAAAAGGTCCGATTAATCAGGCGGTTGGTCCGTTTAGGGCTCTGACTGAGCCTTTGGACGTTCAGCTTGACAGAAAATCAACAGATGCTGGCGTTGCAACTGCCAGGACCGGAAGGGTCTTCTCTGGTGTGTTTTCCATCCGAGCTGAGCAGGTGAGAAGAGATGTTTTTCCAGTAGAGGACGAGAACAAAGCCAGGTCACAGCCATGTGGCTCGTCGTTCACCTGCACACCAGAACAGCGGCACGGAAATAATCCCGCGCTGTTTACTGCTGCGATCTGGCTGCTGCAGAGGGAAGGCCGAAGTGGGACTTCCCTGCGTGTCTGGAGCGGGCTCGCAAAACACACGGCTTGTTTTGATAGCTGTCGGCACAATAACGCCGACCCAACGAGAGCGCGTGAAAGAAAAGCACATCTCTGTTTGTCGGCGGCAGGTGTTTCCTGCTGCCTGCTCCGGGGGCCGGCGGTGCCGCTGGCCTGCAGGTGCTCGCTGCTGCTCGACCTCCCCGACGTCTTTCCAAAACGGTCTTTGGACCGGGTCGGGCAAGTGCGCGCGGCGGTTGGAAGTTTGCACAGTCCCGACCGGACCACGGGCAGCCCGGCACGGCGCCAGCTGGCCCTTTTCCTCTCCTCCCTCGGCACCGGCCGGGTTCTGGGACCGCGGGCAGCGTGCCCCTCCGTGGAGCAGCGGCCTCAGCCCCTTGGTAACCAAATAAACTCCACGGGGCAGGAGAGGATTGCATTGTATAAATAGGATTTCCTGCCCCTGTGATATCACATCCCTTCCTTGAGCTCTGGACGATTGTTCCTAACAGGGCACTGTTGTGGATTTCTTTTTTGTTTGTTTTTAATGGGCCGTCTAAAAGGGCTCTTGATTTGAGCAGTGCCCACTCTGCGTGCAGCTCCTTCTGATTAAAACGCCGGATGCAACAGCACACGTAATCCTTCTATATTATATTCCGTTTTTCTTTCAATTGGCTCTTTCGGGCGAAGCCCTGGCCGTTTTAGCAGCGAGCCCCTGCACTAATTACTTGAATTCTTCTGGATTGGATTCAGATTCGGTCCTTACAATCTCACACTGCAGGGCGCTGTTTGCTGATGGGTGGTGTAAAGCAGAAAAGCTTTTGCGACAGCGTCATTTGAGATACTTTTCCAGTGCTAGGAAGTGATTAACAGGCAAACGGAATGTTATTACCTGGAAATAAGTGTCCGAATTAAACTTAACGGATGATAACATTGTATAATGCTCATTAACAACATCAGAACAGACTGGAACAAAGCGCTCAGCCATGTTGCTGAAGCTGATATTACGGCTTCTCTTTAGACACAGCTGGATGAGATCCTAGGATCCATTAAGCACCAGACTGGCTGAATAGCTCCTCGTGTTTGCAACTTATCTTGATTCTGTCAGCTGGACTGTATCCTATTTGATGAGTGCATGAATAGCAGAGTGCTCCCCCTTCTCTTGCCCCCCAGCTCCCTGCTGGGCAGTGTACTCTTTCTCTGCCCACTTCTGTGAGTGAGGAGGACAGGTCATCAATGCCTGCCCCCCCCGAATCCTTTGACCAGCAACAATGACTCTGTCATTGTAGGCAACTGTTGGGGGCAGGAATGCCCTCTGCGCTGTCCCTCACCAGGGTCAGTGCGGTACAGTGAGAACCCCTTGACTTCCTGCCGGCATTTTGTTCCTATAACACTTCTCCCTGCAGCAAAGCTTCCTCTCACAGGGCACCCCAATCCCCCTCCCCCCTGTACGGGACACCTTGCATCCCGAGCACGATGGGGATTAACAAGTTGAAACAGCAGCATGAATAACCCTTCCACTCCCTTCTTCTCATATTTGATCAGTTTCGATTGTTATCACTGTATTTCCTGCGTGTTGGGTCTAGATTTTTGTGAATCCGCTCATTAACCAACCTCACCAGGATCTAGCATTATCTTGATTATGCTTAGAAAAGCAGTGTAGGTAGTTAGTGTGCGTCAGGCCCTGCACAAGGCAGAGCTGTAACAAATTTGTGAATTCTGTTTTGCTTGTCTGAGGTGTTGCCTCACGATTCCGTGGGCATAGATCTCCAAATTAACGTTAAGCTTTTTTTTTCTTGCAATTGGCAACGCCTATGAAATATACAAAGTATCGGCCAGTCAACTTGTTTGGTTTATTTGGTACCTTTCGAGGAAAGGACCTGAAGTGCTTCTTGTGGATAAGAATGAGCTGAACATTTTTTTTTAAATATTGAACAAGATTTAATGCCTTTTCCATAAGCAGCTGTCCTGAGCCTTTGAAGTCAGAAGGAGAGCTGAGCTGTTCAGGGTTTAGAAGCGAGAGGGAGAATTTTACATTCTGAAACCAGTGGGAAGCCAGGGCAGGGAGGCCAGACCTGGAATGAAAAGCAGCTCCTGTGAGGCGCATTTCTTATTGCTCGTGCTTGGAAAGCAGTGCTGACGCAGCCCCAGCACAGGGGAGGTCTGTACCTCGCTGGGGGATCCCCGATAACGTTCCTCCGTCTCGCCCGGGAGACTCTGCCGCCCCCGAAACCTTGTGGGCCTGCGGAGGTCTTTCTTATAAACAGCGGGGCTTGTTGCCATGGCATCCCCTGGACATCCTGCGGTGTGATGAGATCTCCATGAAAGGCCCCGAGGTTTGCGCTGTGCACGTGCGTTTCCCAATCGGTCAGTCGTCGCGGTGAGCATACCCCTGTCCTCCCTGCGCACCCCGAGCCCCGGACCACCGCGGCCTGCGGTTTGGAGTTATATCTTCTGCTGCCTGGTGTTTTGGTTTATTTTGTTGTTGCTTCCTCTGTCTGAGAAGCGTCTCGCACGCCTGACAGCACGCGGGACCCTGGGCCAGGGTGGCAGGACGGGGGGGTGCCTGGAGGCCCCCAGCGGTGAAGGGGCCCCCCGACGAGGCTGGTTTGACCCCACCCCCTCTCCCCCCACGCAGTCAGTCGGTCTGCCTGCCGAGGGCAAGCCACCGGGGCACCTGGAGACTTGGGGTGTCCTGGGTCCCCTGACTCGCTGCGCGGACAGGTGGACGTGGAGTAAGATCGTGTGTAGTGATTCCAGGCTGGACAGCTCAACCAGCCCGTTTGGTAATGAGTAGTCAGCTGATTCCAGGGTCTGATCCAGCTGCATCTTGGAAGAAACCAGGGTATCGGCTTCAACAACATGGCTGAGCTGCTTGTGCCAGACTCCCACCACTCTTTGTGTAAGCAAGACTCTCCTGTTCTCCTTTTTAAATTTGCTTCCAACAGTATCCTTTTTCTGCTCTCTGCAGTTGCTCTTCATGATCATCTTTTTCCTATTGTGTACTTATAGTTTGTTTTGCTCTTCTTCATGTAATGAAGGTGTTCACTGCATCTTGACTTCTGTCTATATCTTTTTTTAATGTATTTTGCAGCCTCAGCAGTGTTGGGTGATTAGCCCTACTTTGCCCATGTGTCAGGCCTGATTGTGTGTATATCGGTTAGTACTTCAGATTGTTTTTGAAAGGCGCGTACGAGTGGATTATATTTGTGCTCAGCTGGGAGTAGAACTATATTAGCTACAGTACAGACACTAGCTGTGAGACCCTTCCACTTCCAGCTATAATGGCAAGGGAAGACTTGTAGGATATGAACACGGAGAGAAAAGCATCATCACTTTTTTTTTAGGTTCTTGCTCTGCTTTCACTTAAGCCCTTAAAGCCTTGCTGGGACCCATGAGTCATCTTTGCAATATTTTTTTTTGGGGGGGGGGATGTCCCTCGACTTTCTCACCATTGCACGGTGCAGGTCTCACGGCCCAGCGTGGCGCGTGGAGTCTTGCCATTGTTCTCTGCCAGTGGGAATCGGTTGGCGCTGAACAATGCATGTTTCCTGCCATGCAGCCAAGACGAGGCTTCGAGGCTCGGCCGCTGTTGTGCCTGTCGATCCTGGTGGTTTGTGTTGCCAGTTTCCCTTGTTCCTGAAAGGCTTCTTTCCCAGCTGTTTGAGAGGAAGAAGGGCGGGGTCACCCCCCAGCTGTCCTGCCCTGTTGGCACTGCCCCCCCAGGACAAAAACGGGGTGGCCTTCCCATTGAGCCGGGGCCTGCAGAGAATTTCCAGCTGACCGATGCCCAGACACTCCTCCTGATTTCACCCAAGAGAGCGCCCTCTCCAGGAAGGACCGTGTCAGTGGCTGTATAGAGAAAGGGTGTGGCTTGCAGCGCCAGGGGTTGGCACTCCTCTATAGGAACCTGAAAGGCCCGTTTGCAGGCCTTAAGGTTGGGCTTAAGATTTGGGTTTCCGATTTAGATCTGGGGAAAAGCCCGTCAGCAGCTTCTCTTTATCTTAAACAGCAAGCTGCCCGTCACTTCCTGACTCTCGCTGCAGTTATCTCAGCCTCTTGACCGACGTTTGCAAAGGAGAAGGGGGGGGAAACACACCCAAAAAAAC